TATCCCTTGGTCCCTGTCTTCTTTCTCTGCCGTGATCAGTGAAAGATCTTTAGTGGCAGTGGAGGAATTTGGCCACGTCTCTTCATCACGAGCATGTCCAGGGGATTCAAGGAGCCCCCAACGTGTCCACGGTCCACAAAGTTTGGGAATCAATTGGAAGGAAGCAAGTCTATCTCCCAGTTGAAAGACGAATTTCATTTTTCAGTGCAGGCTTCCTTGTGGTGTTCCTGAGAACAATTTGCGATACAGACTAGGCCATCAGTGTGGGGGCCGGGGGCAGTGGGTGTGAGACAGTCATCACCGAGGTCACCTTGATGCCGCTCGGCCGAGCAAGTGCTCGTTCTTCTTGTCTGTGACCACCTGCTGCTTTTCTTTTGTGACACCATGAAGTCCCAGGAGCGGACGCCGGTGCGGTGTCACACCTCTCTCTTGGAGCATGTGAAGGGCATGGGTAGTGGAGAATATGCTTCCCGTCACGGGGGGCAGCCTCTTGCTCATGGCAGTCGTCTCCCCAGCGGTCGGATATGGGTGGTCTTTCCGGATCTCTCGTGTGGACTGGGTGAGCCAGGGGTCTGAGAGGGAGAGAGAGCAGTGAAGAGCCAAAAGGGAGAGGCTGGGTGTGGGTGAGAGGCCGGGGGGGGGGGGGTGCGGGGGTTGGGAGGCAGGGACGGAGCCAGGGCCTCCAGAGCATCAGGTGCAGGGAAACCCGCGTGACCATCTCCCGTTCCCCAGTCAGAGAAGGAAGTGCGGGTACCGGAAATCATTCCCAGGAGCGTGTCCCGAGCTGAGCGCGGACCCTTTCCGGCTGCTCAGCACCCCCAACGTGGGGCAGTGAGGCTGTCGTTTTGCAGCATCTGCCCAGAAATTTCCTCCGTGACTTGGCAGGAAGGGACTCGAGGACTAAAGTGGGCGGGAGCAAGGTGCGCTGTCAAGACATTTCAGCAGTGTCTGAGAGTGTGACAAAGGGCTGCCTGGCCCTCCGTGCCCCCTTCCTTGAAGTCCATGGTGCCTGGGAACCCATTGCCCCCAGGCTCCCTCGATTCGCTTCCAGAACACAGCCCTGCAAGCCGAGAAGTGATTGTTTCTTGTTTCTTTTATTTATTCATTCTGTTTTCCTCTCGCCCTCTCCTCTTCTGCTCAAGTGTCTCGAATCCGTTTGCTTGTAAATAGTTCTGATTCAAGACTTGCTCCCAGGGCCTGTGGCGATAGCGCAGGGGCGTTGGGCGCGTACCTGGCATGCTCGGGGCCCTGAGTTGGATCCCCAGCCCCGCACGGCCCGCCAAGCGTGCCCACTCCCCCAAGCGTGCCAGTCTATGGCCCCTATAGAAATAAATGACATGGGCTGGAGAAATAGTATGGGGGTCCAGGTGCTTGCTTGTCTTGTACGCTGCCAACCTCATTTTCATGCAAACTCCCCACCCCTGAGCAATTGCAGGGTGCAGCCCTGGAGGTTTCCTGAGCACTGTCTCGGTGGTCTTGGGACTTGGCAGCACTGTATCCAACTGCTGGCCTTGCTGGCAGAGAGTCAGGAAAGGTGTTGTCCCCGCTACCACCCACTTCACCCCTGCCCCCCCACCCCCCCGAGAGTCCACCCATCAGATACATTGGGGAGCTGGAGGCTGACTGTGTTGAGATAGTTAGCAGCTCCAGCAAGACCAATATTGCTCTCCAACTATTCACAAGTCTCCATGATCAGCATCAGTTCCTCCGGTCTTTTGATAGTTGCTTTAAATTCAGATGGAAGCATCTTTTTGTCTTTGTTTTCAATCAGGCTCAGCCTTGCCTCACAACTTGTATTTGTCTGTTTCTAGAATGTGTCTTCCTACACCTCCTTTTTGCTCTTCTCTTAAAAAACAAACAAACAAACACTTGAGTTGTTTTGTTTTGTTTTGTTTTGTTGGTGTCAGGGATCGCATCAGGAAGTCTCCCCTACAGGACCTGCTCCCCAGTACACCTCCAGTACCCCCCAACCCTTTCTAAACAGACCCTTTGTTGGGTGTCCACAGGCAGTGCCTCGGGGAGCCAGGGGCCACTCCAGTGGGTTGTTGCCCCACAGTGCTCAGGCTGGCGGCTGATCAGGGTGGGGGTGCAGCCCTGGGGTTGGAAGTCAGGCCTCTCCATCTGAGACGCACACCCCAGCCTCTCCGCCATCTCCCCAGCCGATCATTTATCCTGTAGAAGGACCCACATCCTTGATTTGACAGGTTTCCTTTTTTTTTCCTTTTTTGGGGTCACACCTGGTGATGCTCAGGGGTAACTCCTGGCTCATGCACTCAGGTACTACTCCTGGTGGTGCTCGGGGGACCATATAGGATGCTGGGAATCGAACCCAGATCGGCCACGTGCAAGGCAAACACCCTCCTCGCTGTACTATAGCTCCAGCCCGGGTTTCCTTCATATATGTGTCATTTTATTTTCCGTGCTGAGCTACACCTGGCCCTCTGGTACAAGGGTTGGAGTTGGGGTTGGTGTGTGCAAGGCAAGAGCCTTCCCCAACCTTGGGTGTTTAATTATGTCCTGCTCGGTGCTGCTTCTGCCTTAGCCTTTCTGGTCAGTTGCTAGCGGAGGCCAAGGCTCAGACTTATTCTTAGGCATCTGACTGGAAGGCAGGTGAGGTGTGACAGGAGCCCTGGCGTAGCAAAGATTGAATGATGGTGCCTCCAGATTTGATCGCCACCACCAGATGATCCCCTGAATATCTCTGGGAGAGACCCCCCGAGCACCATGCAGAAGTAGCCCATGAGCACCCCAGAGGACTCCCAAAACCGCCCTTCGAAACAACAGTGAATGCGTAGTGTGTCTGCACACTGCATCCTGGTCATGCTCCCTCTCAACAACTCCCACCTCGTGGCTGCAGACAAAGCTAGCAGCCTTTTCTTTTTTTCTCTCTTTTTGGAGCAATAGCACAGTGGTAGGGCGTTTGCCTTGCGCGCAGCCAACTCAGCCAACCCGGGTTCAATTCCTCCGCCCCTCTTAGAGAGCCCAGCAAGCTACCGAGAGTATCTCGCCCGCAGGGCAAAACCTGGCAAGCTCCCTGTGATGTATTCGATATGCCAAACATAGTAACAAGTCTCACAATGGAGACATTACTGGGTCCGCTCGAGCAAATCAATGAACATTGGGAGGACAATACTATAGTGCTACAGTACTTTTTGGGTCACATTGGAGATACTCAGGGGTTCCGTCTGGCTCATGCACTCAGGACTTACTCCTGGTGGTGCTCAGGGGACCATATGGGATGCTGGGAATCGAACCCGGGTTGGCTGCATGCAAGGCAAAACGCCCTCCCCGATGTGCGATCACTCCAGCCCCTGAGCCGCCTTTTTTTTTTTAAGGAAACAAACACTCTAGACCTTCTTCTGATTCGCTCTTCCCACTGCCGGCATGGCCTGCTCACCTCTGGCTGGACCAGCCGCCGGAGATCTCGTTCCTTCCAAATATGACTGCCCAGATGTGCTGTGTGCCCTGGGACGCCTCGTACTCCCCGGCTGGGACCAGTCCCCATCCCTCCTGACTGGGAACGGAGCCCCCGAGTCTCACCCCGTGGAGTCCCTTTGCTAGCTTTCTGTGTGGCAGGGGCAGTGGAAATGCCCTGGGGCAGTCACACGGTGTCCCCAAGCAATCCTTTCTCCCCAGGGGTGCAGGAGTGTAGCCCTCCCGGGAATGGGGGATGCCCTGGTGACCGCCAGGCTCGAGCTCTTCCCAAAATGGCCAGTGGAGTTCCAGGGCTCAGTTCGGAGGAAGGAACCCCATTTTGTGTCTCATTTAGTGTTAGCCTGAGGGAGAGAAATAAGAGGGTGGACACACTGACCTCAGGAGCCTTGAGACTGGATTGGTGGCTGTGTCCATTGGGCTGGGAGTCCCCAATTTGGCAGTAGGAGACCGAGGAGGTGCCTGCAGCAAGTCCCGGGCTGGGGGGGGGCGGGGTCATTGGACAGCGGCTGGTGCTCAGCATTGGGCAGCGAGCAGCCTCCTCTCCGTCCCACCGCATTTGTCTCTGTCTTGCTGATTTTCCAGCACAGGGCAATGAGATTCGGACTTGAATCTGGAGCTTCCCCCCCCCCCCCATTTTTCCTTCTGGAAATAGCAGCTATCCCCTAAAGCCTGGAGGGACCCTCAAAAATCAGGCTTTCAAACTTTGGTACATCTACACAATGGAATACTATGCAGCTGTTAGGAGAGATGAAGTCACGGAATTTGCTTATAAGTGGACAGGCATAGGGAGTATCATGCTAAGTGGAATGAGTCAGAAAGAGATAGACAGACATAGAAGGACTGCACTCATTGGTGGAGTATAAAATAACACAATATGAGACTGATACCCAAGGACAGCAGAGACAAGAGCCAGGAAGATTGTCCCATGGTTGGAAGCCTGTCTCAGGAGCTGGGGGAGAAGGTAGCTGGAATAGAGAAGGGATCACCAAGTCAATGATGATCGGAGGAATTGTTTGGGATGGGAGACGTGTGCTGAAAGTAGATAAAGGACCAAACGGGATAGCTTCTCAGTATCTGTATTGCAAACCATAGTCCCCCAAAGTAGAGAGAGAAAGGGTATGGGGGAAATTGTCTGCCATGCAGGCAGGGGAAGGGTGGGAAAGGGGAGAGTATACTGGGGACCTTGGTGGTTGAGAATGTGCACTGGTGGAGGGATGAGTGTTTGATCACTATAGGATTAAAACTCAAACATGAAAGCTTGTAACTATCTCACAGTGATCCAATAATTAAAAAAAAAAATAATCGTACTTCCCTAGTTGCAGGCCAGGCCTCAGCTCGGAGCCTTCAGGCCTGGATGGGTTGAAGTGGGTTTGTCCTGCAGGGGAGCAGTGCTGAGAACAGCCTTCAGGCCAAGTGCTGGCAGTGCCGAAGGGGGGGACAGTTAACACCTGTGTCCCGTTTCATGCTCCTGGCAGGGCTGGGAGGGTGGGGGGGGAGGGTAAAGGTGCCTCCACCTCCTGTCCCTTGTGCCTCACATCCCTCTCTCTCTCTCTCCTCCTTCCAAGCCTCAGAAGAGGAGAGCGGGAAGCCTTTCCAGTGCCCCATCTGTGGCTTGGTCATCAAAAGGAAGAGCTACTGGAAGCGACACATGGTGATCCACACGGGTCTCAAGAGCCATCAGTGTCCGCTCTGCCCTTTCCGCTGTGCTCGCAAGGACAATCTCAAATCCCACATGAAGGTAAGCCAGCGGCAGCCCGCAGTCCACGGAGGGCCATAGGAGGGGACCCCGGGGAGGCCACGGGAGATGATGGTGCAGGCAGGAGCAGAGGAAGCACCGGCCAGACTCATCCCGGAGGTTGGCCCCGGGCAGGGCACGCGGGGGTGGGCATGGATGCCAGGCTCTGGTGTGGCACGCTTAGCACTTCACCACTCGCGCCGAGTCCCTGGGCTCCGCGGGAAGAACTCCCCATAAGCGGACCCCTCCTCTCCCAGCGGGGAGCAGTGGGACGCGCTTCCGGGGCCCCCGGAGGAAGACCTCGTGGCAGACAAGGCGAGTACAGGAGGGGTGGCGGGTGCTGCCCCTCCCCACCATCCCCGGCCTCCGAGGCTGTGGTTTTTCCCGAAGGAGTCCGAGGAGTCCACTGGATGGGAGGGCACAGACCTGGCATCCTCGAGGCCCTGGGTTCCTCCCTGGGGGCGGGCAGGTGTGTTTGCCTGCATGTAGTCACAGGGCACCCACGCCAGCACCCATGCTGCCTGCCAGCCCAGGGGAGCAGCCAGAGATGCCTCTCGGACGGGTGAGAGCTTGAACAGACTCTGGTCCTCCAGGAGAAACATAGCTCACAAGACCGAGTCCCTCCTTTGAGGCGGAGAGTGTATAAGGTGACCCAAACCGCTAGTGAAAACATCAGGTGATGTGGTGCCCCCTCATCAGCCGATGGGAGACCCCCTGCGTGTCCCTCTCAGCCAAAGTGTGGGAAAAACTTAGTCATCCACATCTTTGTAAGGTTTCTTTAAAAGCCTTGAAGGTGAACACAGTGGCAGTCATACTGCAGGTTTTTCTTTTTCTTTTTTTTTTTTTTGCTTTTTGGGTCACACCCGGCGATGCTCAGGGGTCACTCCTGGCTCATGCACTCAGGAATTGCTCCTGGCGGTGCTCGGGGGACCATATGGGATGCTGGGAATCGAACCTGGGTCAGCCATGTTGACTGCGTGCAAGGCAAACGCCCTACCCGCTGTGCTATCACTCCAGCCCCACTGCAGGTTTTTCTAGCCTTGCACATGGCCGACCTCAGTCAGACCCTGGTACTGCGTATGATCCCCTGAGCACCACCAGAAAGACCCTCCGAACACTGCCGGTTGTTAAAGTTCCCTCCCCTCGCCTCCAACCCTCCCTACCCACCGCCAAATGCTGCAGATTTTTTTTTTTTCTGAAGGACAAGGAGGAAACTCACGAGATCAGAAGATGGTGGGCCTGGGAATCTGATAGATCTGGCAGGGAATTTCATTGTGTTACTTACTGACTCGGTGGCCTGGAGCCAGGGACCCTGTTTAGTTTTTTTTTTTCTCTCTCTTTTTTGGGTCACACCCGGCGATGCTTGGGGGACCATATGGGATGCTGGGAATCGAACCCAGGTTGGCTGCATGCAAGGCAAACACCCTACCCGCTGTGCTATTGCTCCAGTCCCAGGGACCCTGTTTAGACTCAGTTTTCTTATCTGTGAAATGGGAACCCCGATGTTCATCTGGAAGTGTTTTCCGTGGCCTGTCTGAGCAAACTCTCTGACTCAGAAATGTCCAGTGGTAGCTATTTAATTTTAATAATTATTGTTGGCCGTCTTACAGCGTCCTTGTCAATGATGACTTCAGCCTGGCTCTTGAAATTGTTTAGAAAGTGTCTGCTTTTTTAATAGGATGTTTAGTTTATGTACACATTAAGACGTCTGCTTTTTTTTTTTTTTTTGAGGCTACTCCTGGCAGTGCCCAGGGGTTGCTTACTCCCAGTTCTGTGCTGAGGGCTGGGTGGATATAATGGATTAAGAGTGATGGGCTTCCCGTAGGCAGAGTACATAGGAGGCCTTTGGGGGCATCGATCCATCCATCCTTAGTTTACTCTTTGGGAGCCACCCGTGGTAATGCTCAGGGTCTTCACCTGGCTGAGCTGTGGGGGATTGTTCCCGGAGGAGCTCCGGGACCATGCGGTAGTGGGAACGGAGCCCTGGGTTCCCACATGCGAAGCCTGTGAGCAGATCCCGGCATCTGGTTTTTTTTTTTTTTTCAGAATCTTGTGTTATCTTTCTGAATCAGTCATCACTGTTTCCAGTTGTAGCTTTATGAGGGGAACAAAAAAAAGTGACCATACAGAACTCATATTGACTTGAGAAAACAACTTGGAAGATTTAATAAATAAATAAAGCCAGGATAGAATTTATTATCTATCATTTTCCTTTCCCTCCCAGGAGGAGCCAGCCAGCCAGCCAGGAGTTCTGGTTGGTTGGATTTTTACTGAGGTGACTTAACTTTTTTATTTTTTGGCATGGGCCTGGCAAGCTCCCTGTGATGTATTCAGTATGCCAAACACAGTAACAACAAGTCTCACAATGGAGACGTGACTGGGCCCGCTCGAGCAAATCGATGAACAGCGGGAGGACAGTGACAATGACAGTGGAGGGGAGGTCTTGGGGACACAGTCCACAGTACTCAGGGATTGCTGCTGGCGGTGTTTGGGGGTGACCCTCGGTGGCCCTCGAGTGCTGGGGTGAGTTGACACTGCCCCATCGCTCTGGCCCCTGAGCCGACTTTTCTTTCCTGACTAAACCTTCTCTTCCTCTATCAGCATTTCCCAAAGTAAATTCTCTCATTTTCCACCTGCGACGTGAATACCTGCCAGCAGACTCAGACAGCCAAAGAAATGCCTTGACAAACGGGAGATTTGCTGGAAGTGGCCCGCCGCATGCGGGGGTCTCCCAATCGGGCCTGGCAGACCTAACACTCCGCAAGCAGAAGCCTCCCTGCCGGCCTCACCTCAGGGTCACTTGACACGGCCTATTTATAAACCCACGGGAACAAAGCGGGGCTTTCAATGGCAGGAACCGGTGACCCTGAAGCTGCAGGAAGATGAGGTGGGCGCCCTCCTGCTCCAGACGGTCGGGCCAGGACGGCCCCACGGCTGAGGGCTGCAGGACCCTGGGCCCAAGGGGGACTCACAGTGCTCAGAGAGCAGATCAGTAACTGGTACCACAAAAGCGCTCATGTGAAATTGCGGCTTTCTTCCAGCTTCTGGGCTTCTAACCTGTTGCACGACCCCTCAAGCTTTGGATAAAGGACCGGGGAGAGGAGCTCGTGCCAATCCTACCATAGCAGCGGGTGTGCCCCTCTTTCTATGCCCTCCACCTCGCCACCACCCCTGACCCCTCCCCCGCCACCCAATTCATGGTTTGATGTTATTGAGTGGCCCTTCAGTTTCTTAAATTTTACAGGTCCTCTCTGACGGACTTGTGAAGCGTGTCTGTTGTTTTCGCAGCATGCTCAAGTCACAAATAGATTTTCTTAAATGAAGTGCAGCTTAACATAAAGTAACAGAATAGAAGACTAATACCCAAAAATGGCCGAGATTAGTACCAGGAATTTTGCTCCATGACTTGGAGGCCAGCCACACATGCTAGGGGAAAAGGGAGCTCAGATAGAGAAGGGAGCACCAAATAAAGAGTGTTGGGAGGATCCTCCCAGGATGGGGGAAGCATGCTGAAAGTAGACTATAGACCAAACATGATTGCCACTCAATGCCTTTTTTGCAAACAACAACATCCAATAGGAGAAAGAACAAAAGGGAATGCCCTGCCACAGAGGCAGGGTGGGATAGGGGGGATGGGGGGTGGGAGGGATACTGGGATCCGTGGTGGTGAGAAATGGGCACTGGTGGAGGGATGGGTATTTGATCATTGTATAATTGAAACCCAAGCATAAAATTTTCTAAGTCTTCAACTGTACCTTATGGTGTCTCACTAATAAAAATTAAAAAAAAAAGGAAAAAAAGAAGTGGGGAACACCTAGCCCCGAGATTCAGATCTCAGAATGGAGGGTCCAAGAGACCTGAGGGTTTTTTTTTGCTTTTGGGTCACACCTGGCATTGCACTGGGGTTACTCCTGGCTCATGCACTCATTACTCCTGGTGGTGCTCGGGGGACCATATGGGATGTTGGGAATCGAACCTGGGTCGGCCACATGCAAGGCAAACGCCCTACCCTCTGTGCTATTGCTCCAGCCCTGAGACCTGAGTTTTTAAGAGCTGGGAGTCTTTGGAAGAATCATTTCACCCCTCCAGGCCTGTCTCTGCTCACGGAGATAAAGATCACGTGAATGGTTCCACTGCGTTCTTGTAAGAGTTAAATGAGATAATGGCAATAAAAAGGCAGTTACTAAAGGGCCCAGCTTGGAGAAAACCCTCAGTAAGAGGGGCAAATGCAGCAATCAGTATTCCAAAGTCCTCTGAAGGTAAATTTACATTCAGAAATAAATCAGTGACATGGTCTGAAAAAGTAATCTAGATTTATTGCCTCTTTCTTGGTGATCTATCTTTTACTGTGGAGAATGTAGAGAAATGAAGAAACACAAAGAATAATTTAAAAAAAATTTTTTTAACCCTTCTTCCCGTCACACAGAACCAGGCAGTTTTTATTGTGCTGGTGTGTAGCCTGGGCTGATGGCAGAGCTCAGGTTAATGAGACCGAGCTGGGCTGTGTTCAATGAACCCAGTCGCTTCGAGGCTCCCCCTGAGTGCTCGGCTCTCTGCACCGTTTCAGGCCTGAGTTTCCTCTGGGCGTCACGTGGGAAGGTGTTTATGGCCGCAGAAGGAACTCATTCGCGGGTCCCCCAGACTCGGGATTCTCTCCTATTTCCATGAAGCCTTTTACGAGTTTTCCTGGATGACTGAGCATTCAGGATGGAGACGTGCCAGTGATCAACTGACATTGCCCGGAACAGGAGGTGGTCTTCGGAGGTCACGACCCCAGCGAAGGCCAGAGAGAGTGAGGACCAAAGGGCTGAATGGACCCCTGCAGCCATGACCCGCGTGAGCTGAGCAGGGTGGAAGTAACTGCAGAGAATCACTGGAGCTGGCCCAAAAACAAATCTAAGAAAGAACACCGGTGAAGCCATGGCGAGACAGCCCAGGCCCACCATGGAGGCAGCTTGAGAACCACCAGTCCCCCCATCCCAGCCCTCCTGGGCCCCTTCCCTGCTGGGCTGGGCCAAGGGGCGTGGAAGAGATGGTCACTGAAGTTCCCTCCCATTGCAGCCGGTCCATGGAATTGCAGGTGGGATAAACCCACTTCCTGTGGCCTGGGGAGGGCTGATGAGTCTGGGACCCAAAGATGAGTCTGGCTCTGAAGTTCCCTGGAATGGACAGGGATCAGGCAGTGGAGGCACCTCTTAGGGAACAGAGGGAGGGTAAAAGATGGGGGTTTTCCCAAGAGGTGTTAGGAGTCCCGTGCTCTCCTGGTCCCACTGGGTGCTGGGGATCACCTAGGACCACTCAGGGGCTGCTTGGGGGCGGCCAGGACCTGACTGCACTGGCTGATCACCTGCGAGAGATGTACTTACCCTCCCTGTCCTGCCTCTCCTGCCCCACTCAGAGGAGTACTATGTAATTTGGGGAGGCTACCCCTGGCGGTGATCAGGGCTTATCCTGGCTCTTGGCTCAGAAATCACTCCTGGCAGGGCTTGAGGGTTCATGTGTGGTGCCGGGGATCAAACTCAGGCTGGCTGCGTGCAAGGCAAGTGCACTACCCACTGAGCTCCCTCTCTGGCCCCCGTAAAGAGGGATGATTTTAAAAGCCGGTGCTGGGGGCAGGAATGTGACTCAGTGAATGGTAGCGCTCAAGGCTCACAGGTGTGAGGTCCTGGATTGAGTCCCCGAAACCAGCAAAGCCAACATGAGGTGAAAGAAAACTCCTGGAATGGAACATGCTTTCCTCTAGAGGGGAGGCGCGAGGGGCCGGGTCTGGGGGGCTGTGTGGTCTCTGGAGGAGGTATGTGTCAGCACCAGGAGATTCCTCACGGGAACACCACACCACACCTGCTGCCCCATGAGTCGGTCTCACCTGTCCCCGCAGAAGGCAGAGAAGCCCGTGAAGCCCCGGCCCCGGACTCCCTGTCCCGTGGTGAACCGGGCTTGGTGCTCTGTCCTGCTCCTTTTCCCAGGAGCTGCTGCAGAACTTCTGCGATGGGGCGGGCTCTGCTCCCCCCCCCCCACAGCCCTCCCTCCGCTCCAGGGACGCTGCTGAGGGGTCCCACCGAGACCTTGGCCACCTGTTGGCTGCACCTGTCAGGGCCCCCTGCTGTGCCCGGCGCATTCCAACTTGTGCGTTTGTGTGTGAACTGGTGGAGGAGACTGAGGGAATCTTCCCAACCCTAAAAGATACAAGGGGGAGGGGTGGAGGGGGGAGAGAGAGAGACAGACAGACAGACAGACAAAGACACAGAGAGACAGAGACAGAGATACAGAGAGACTGAAAAAGACAGAGACAGAGAGACCAAGAGAGAGATAGAAACAGACACACACACAGAAGGGAAGAGGGAGGGAAGGAGAGAGGGAGGAAGACAGAGACACAGAGCACAGAGACTGAGAAAGACAGAGAGACAGAAACAGATAGAGAGAGAGAGAGAGACAGATGTGCACGCACACACACACATACATACATTCACACACACACATACACACACTTCACAAGGTAACTTCTGCTGACACATTCAGGCTCCCGGGGGGGACCCGGAATCTCTGGTCCTTTTTTCTCAGAGAGCCACGGTGGGGTGCTGTAGCGACAGGTTCTCACCGGTCCCTTTTAATTTCTTCTGCTTTCGTTGGTCACTTGGAGTTATTTAAAAGTGTGTGCCTGGGCCAGTGCATAATGGTCTGGGATTGCATTCAGCATGCATAAGCGGTGCGAGGAAACCTGGCTCTCTCTTGCCCGGGTTGCGAGTGGTCCCCAACACACTCTTCTCTGTGGGGAGGCTGGGCCTCCCCTCCCACGGTGGTCACCGGCCCGGAGCACAGTGCCCGTTAGTTTCCAGTCACTTGGTCGGTCGTCCTGCCCACACACGGCTCCTGCGAACCATCTGCCCGGTCATCAGGATTAGCAGGCCTTCTCCCCAGGAGGGCACACCCGGGGTGGTGGGGACGGTCACCTACCAGCTGCAGCCAGGCCTGCCTGAGCCAGCGCCACCTGTTTTCAGTCATTTGATTTGGGAATGACGGAAGGCAGAGGAAACACTGCATTTTTTTTTCCAGGCTTGCATGACTGCAAGTGAGACTGGAACTGGCTTTGATATTTTTTTTTTTTCGTTTTGGGTTACACCTGGCGATGCACAGTGGTCACTCCTGGCTCTGCACTCAGGAATTAACACATGGCTGTTATTGGGGAACATAAAGGATGCTGGGAATCGAACCCGGGTCGGCCGCGTGCAAAGCAAACGCTCTACCCACTGGGCTATCGCTCCAACCCCTGGAACTGGCTTTGAAAGTCCTCTTCTTTCCTTTGCAGATAGCTGCGTCTGTCCAACCAGGCTGGGAAACAGCGGTTTCCTTGGGTGTCCTCGTGCTGAGCCGACCTGGGCACCCCCCTTCCCTCCCATGGCCCCGGGCTCACGCCCCGTACCCCAAGTCTCAACTTCCCAGTCTCTGACACGGGAAGGCCACGGAGACATGATTTTCCACTCTTCATTACCTAGGGAAGCATCTTGAGCCCTGAGATGAGGTTGGCCAAGCCGAGCTGATTCCCTGGGTGACAATTAGCGGCGACATGCAAAAAAGTATTAGGCTGGTGTGTGCAGAATTATTGGGCGGGTGACCTCTCTGACCCCCCACCCCCACCCCACCCCTGTGTAATTATGTGAGTCTGCACTGTGCTGGGTTGTTAACGCGTCCTCTGAGGAAATGGGATGATGAGGAGGTGAGGGTTCCCCAACACCTTCAAATCAGAAAAAGGGGGGATGTCTTTTGGCCGAGGGTGAGCAGGACCTGAATGGCCCTGCGCTACATGTCCGGGTTGGCCTGGAGCACGGCCACGAGATGCTCTTCCGGGAGTGGCCACCCCTGGACCACTGTGGGTCCCCCTGCGAGGGGTGTGGGGGGTGGGCGGGGGGGGGTGGTGTGAGTGGCCGGGGGCAGGGCAGGGCTCACTCTGGTTGCCTCTCCCGCAGGTCCATCAGCACCAGGACCGGGGGGAGACCTTCCAGTGCCAACTCTGCCCTTTCACCTCCTCGCGCCACTTCAGCCTCAAGCTCCACATGCGCTGCCATCAGCACTTCCTGAGGACAGAAGCCAAGGTGAAGGAGGAGATCCCAGACCCCGATGTCAAGGGTTCGCCCCACCTCAGTGACAGTGCCTGCCTGGGGCAGCAGAGGGAAGGAGCAGGGACAGAGCCCGAGAGGACTAGCCAGGGTGGGGCCGGCGTCTCGCCCGTGCTGGTGAAGGAGGAGCCCAAGGAAGATAACGGCCTGCCAGCCTCCTTCCCCCTGAGCGCCGCCGGCAGGCCAGCCAAGCACACAAAGCTGAAAGAGCCGCCCGAGTGTGTGGCCAGCGGTGCGGCCGCCCTGTTCAGCCAGGACATCTCTGTTAAGATGGCGTCTGATTTTCTCATGAAGCTGTCAGGTACTTGCCCAGGGTCGTGTCTCTTCTTCCCTCTCCCTCTCCCTTCGCCCGTCTCTCTCTCTCTCTCTCTCTCTCTCTCTCTCTCTCTCTCTCTCTCTCTCTCTCTCTCTCTCTCTCCCTCTCTCTCTCTCCCTCTCTCTCTCCCAGCGTTCTCATCTCTGACAGGAACTGGTAGGCCCAGTCGATCGCCAGAGACCCCCCCCCCCCCCCCCCCCCGCTGGGGTGAGAAATCCTGGCGTTTTTCCTTCCAGCAGTCCCATGGGAGTCGGTCTTGCTGTGTCGGTTTTGGATTCAGAGACCCTAGGGGTTGGGGGTGGGGGGCGAGGAGTGGGCTCACTGGGTAGGGGGCTGGCCTGGCATGTGACTGACCACCCCAGAGGCCCCGCAGCCTTCAGCAAGCGTGATCCCTGAGGGTAGAGCCAGGAGTAAAGCCCTGAGCACCGCCAGGTATGGGCCCAGAGCCAAAGCAGACATGGGCCGGAGCGATAGCACAGCGGGGAGGGCGTTTGCCTTGTACGCGGCTGACCCAGGTTCAATTCCCAGCATCCCATACGGTCCCCAAAGCACCACCAGGAGTAATTCCTGAGTGCAGAGCCAGGAGTAACCCCTGAGCATTGCCGGGTATGATCCAAAAAGAAAAAAATAATAATAAGCATCAGACAGACAGACAGATGGATGAGGGCTGAGGGTTTCCTGGTGGTTTCCCCCCTTTCTGGATTGTTTCTGTCAGGAACAGGTAACAGGTGAACCAACTTAGTGGCCTTCCTTTTTTCTTTTTTTCTTTTTAAAATTTGTGGCATCTTGAGCCCGCCCTATTTAAGTTGCCTCCATGTCAAGTATTTAAGAGTGTTTGTCTGGACCGTGTCATTTGGCACCCGCCGTGGTCGTAGCTGGAACGGCACCATCCACAGACTGCTCCTGGGAATGACAGACTTTACAGATCGGAGCACGGAATTGGGAACTTTTACATCCCCCTGCTCCCCCCCCCCCAGGGGGAAAGTTTCTCACTGTGGTTAAAATATACCTAATATCAACTGGAGCCATTTAAACCTATTTTTAAAGCGCCCTGTCTCCTGGCATGGGGTCCGCTCAGAGCGGTCTGCCCCTCCCTCCATACTGGGAACCTTCCCGTTATCCCAAACCCAAACCTTTCACCTGTGAAATGAATAATCACTCCATTTCCCCACCCTAAAAAGTTAATCACACTTTTACTTTCCATCTTTATGTGTTGAACGACTCTAGGGATTTTGGATAAAGTTGAAACGCAAAACAAAATGCCTTTTGGGAAAAAAAGATGGCATCTAAGTTCGAAAGATTTCACCTTGTGGCTTGACATTAGTTTCACCAGTCCACTGACATGCTTCTCTTGCTTCTTAAAAGTCTGATTAAGTTGGGGAGTTGATCAGGGAGGGGTGGGGTTGGGGGGGGGGGCGCTGCGTTTTCCGAATCTCGCTCTGGTTCAGCCCGTGCAGTGTGGGCGGGTGCTGGTCTTCGGTGCGTGTTTCAGAGTCTGATGTTCTGTTTTAAAGGCGATGTGGCGAGTAGGGAAAGGTCGGCTGAGAATCGCTTCTGTCTTCCACTGAGGATAGTCCCCGCGATGACTTCCGAATGCCATTTCAGCTCTTTGGAGATTGACAATACCCTTTTAAATGGGGAATAATTGGTCACCGCCTTCCTTTAAAGGGACTGTGCGGAGCGTTTCATTAAATGTCATCGCCAGGTGAATTCCAGGGTCAGTTCCTCTGAAGTCCCTTCACCGTGACTCTTCCCTCCGCTCTTCTGCAGGGCCCTGTCACCCCCGGTCCTCAGCCTCTTATGAGCGCGAGACACTGGTTGGAAGGGAAGAGGAGAGAGAGAGGCAGGGCATGGAAACGGGGTGCCAAGAAGGAGCCTGGGGGAGGGGGGACAGTCGTGTTGGGAAGACATCACCCTAGAGCCACCTGCACTTGGCTCTGGCCCAGTTAAAGGGGGTGAGGGGGGCTTCTCCTGTCCCTCTTCTTTTCCGTCTCCTTCACCGCAGTCTTGGAGGAAATGTGCTTTTAGAGATATGCAGTTCGACACTTTGGGATTTTTGAAAACGGGGGGCCATGCACATTTCTGGTTTGCCTTTTGGCTGCGGATCCTCCCAGAACTCACTCCCGGGGACTCCTTTCTGCTTTTCTGCTCAGGGGGCGCCCGTTCTGAGATCTGGGGCTGCACCCCTCCCGGAGAATATGTTCCTCTGCCTCAGGACACCGGGGAGTGCGGCAGTAGGAATTCTGAGTGAGGGCTTCCTCCTCCTTCTGCAGGCCAGGAAGAGGCTGAGGGGCCTGTTGGGTCTTTGGCTGAATCACCGGTTCCTGATTTGCCGGGCGCTGCTGGCCTGGGCTCCCGGGCACTGGCTCTCAGGCTGTAATTAGCTGCAGAATCGGTCTCAGGGAGCCCAAGACAAAGGCAGGGGCTGCCCAGAGCCAGGGCTGCAAATACTCAGCCCCAGCGGCAAAGCCAGTCGGTTGAGGGGGGTGAAAGAATGTGCCCCAAAGCCTTATATTGTGATCTGTTTTCTCAGGCAGCTATTGACGGGGACTTGTTTACGATTTGGCAGCTGGAGTGTTTACTGACTGATCAATGGGCATAAGAAAACAGATAACAAATGCACACTATTTATGCAAAAGGCCCATGCCGCTATTTTATGGTGGCTTACTAGAGGTCCTGGAACCTGACTTGTATGCACTGTTACCTAGCAACCTGGTGGAAAGTCACCGGGGAGTGAGATGCATTGGTAATGTGTGTGTGTGTGTGTGTGTGTGTGTGTGTGTGTGTGTGTGCGCGCGCGCACGCACACGAGCGTGCAGATTCGGATGTAAATGTGAAACTTGGTGACTTGTGGCAGTGCAGTTCCCGGAGAAGATGTGTTCAAAGGGAGGGAATACATTTTCTGGAGGGATCTTTCCCATCCTTCATGCCTGCCACCTTCCCCTGCTCCCTGAGAGCTGCTTAGCATGGGGGAGGGGGGAGGGGACTCTACCTGGCTGTGTCAGTAGATCCCAGAGGCTGAAATCGCAGGGAACCGCAGCTGAGTTTCCACGCTCTGGCTTTCGGGGGGCAAGTGGTGGCCCCATCCCCGGGCGTCATAACAGCGCCATTGTTCTGGCGGGCTCCGTGCACCTGCCGGGCTGCAGGGCGCAGCTGCTGGGGGGTGTCTGCCAGTCTCGGTGCCAGCCACATCTCTGTCTGCAGCGCCGGAGGCCGGGCCAGATGCGAGCCTGCACATACCTACTTGTTCCTCGGAGCGGGGCCGGGAACACTTGCTTCTTTCTTGCCGGGTGATGAAGCGGGGTCTCTTTCTTGCTCCTTCGGCGAAAATGAGGCAGAAAGATGACTGCACGGAACCCAGCGGGGTCCAAAGTCGGTGGCGGGATGGGGGCTTTTAAACAGACTCGGATTCCTGCTCCTGCCCCCCGGGAGGGAGAGGGTCCCCCAGCAGCCGAGACGAGAAAACCCCTTCTCTGTGATGCCCGCCCCTCTCAGCCCAGAGAGGCGGTTTCCACCTCCCTGGCCACCTTCCATCTCTCTCGGGAACGCGGACACTCTCGGATCATTGCATGGTGGAGAAGGGGTGATGCCTTGATCAGGTGACTTGGGGACTTTCGAGAGTGAGGTGCTTGGCTCACCCCAAGTTCCAACTGCCTTGGAGTTTGTCTTCCATTCCCAGTGGCGACTTTCCTAACCTGGGCTCAATATGAGACTCTTTCAGGAGTTTCATTTTTTTTTGGGGGGGGGGGGGTAATGGGTGCATACCCAGTGGTGCTTAGGCCTTACTCCCAGCCCTGTGCTCCCTGACAGGGCTCTGGGGGCCATACACAGTGCCAGGGATCAAACTAGGGTTGATTGCCACCATGCAAGTGTCTTCACCCTTGTACCAGCTCTCTGGTTGAGTTTCTTTAAAATGCCAGGACCGCCCTCATCCCCCCATCCTGCTCTGTGCCCAGGAATTGTGGTCCAGGGTAGGGTCTGGGTACAGATTTTCATTTTATTTTATTACATGGGAGGATATGTCTCCCAAGCGGTGCTCAGCAGGTCCAAGGGCCATTCTGATGATTCTTGGCCAGCTAGGTCGGGCGATTGAATGTGAGGGTTCGAGACCATGGTGCTGAGCCCAGCTTCCGAGGCTGCACTTGGGTGCTGCTTGGGGGCCATGTGGTCCAGCATCATGTGTGTGCTCAGCTTAACCACTGGACCACCTCCCCCCTGGCCCTTGGTACTCTCTCTCTCAAGTTCATGACGAATGTCCTGTGCAATCCCAGTTGGGCCCCACTTACCTGAATTAGAAACTTGGCAGCTGGCAGACAAGGTGCCACGTGGACACGTAATTTTAAGGGGACTTAATTTTCTTTTACTGCTTTCTATCCATGGAAAGGGCCACAGAGGTATGAGATGGGTGTGAGACACTTGTCACAGGTCAAGGGTGACTGTGTGAAGAGGAGGTGGTAAGTCACCCCTGCAGGTCCCTGTGTTTGTCTCATGCCCCAAAGAAGCATCCTGAGGCTGTCCAGTGGGGACCAGCTCATCGCAGGACCCACCTCCAGCATCTCAGAGCTGGGCGCAGCAGCATGAGAAGCCTGATTAAATGTGGCCAACTGCGGCCTTACATCATTTTTGCTTTCTGAAAATGACACTTTTCAAGATAAAACGTTTCATTCCAACTCTCCAAATTGCAAGCAAGCAGTGGACAGAAATTTGGCAAGTGCCACTGTTGGCCAGGAATAGCATTTTTTTGTCCCTGGGTTTTTTTTTTTTTTTTTGAAAATAAACGATAGAAGTCTTTCAGACTAATTTTAATTTGGAAATGGGCACAAGCTTTTGACACTGTCTCCCGCATGAATGCTGAATTCATTTCACCAGGAAAGATGGACTTCTGGTTTTTGTTTCGTTTGGGGGCCACAACTGGCGATGCTCAGAAGTTGCTCCTGGCTCCACACTCAGGAATCGCTCCTGGCGGTGCTCAGCTGGAATGCCCA